GGCACCAGGGAACTCCTGCAAGATGTTGCATCCTCTTCCCCATTGCCTGTCCTCTCAAAAGGCTCCGTGGTCCAGGAAGGGAAAAGGAAGCCCTGGCAGCGCAGACACGCAGGAGGAATGGATAGCCAGGGCATGCTGCCTGGCATGTGCCAGCCAGGAGAGAGACTGGGACATCCTGAGAACAGGAGTGGGATGAGGGAGCTTTCATGTCCCTGCATCAGCTTTCAAAAGTCCTGCGCCCTTGGGCTGCAAAGGCAGACAATGTGTAGTGCAGAGAGAGGAGAGCTTCTGCAGTGATCCATCTGTGAAACACTGAGCCCAGCCAGGTCAGCAGAGAGAGGCAGAGAGCTGGGCAGCTGGCAAGAGACAAGGAAGGGCAGGGGTCCGAGATGATCGGGAGAGCAGCTGTTTCTTCTCGGTCTCAGCCTGTGCTTGCCAGCAGTAAGAGCACCTTGAGAAAGCCGGTGCAAAGCCACCCTTGTGATCTGATGCTTCCCAACGTTTGCCCAGAGTTGAAGAGCAGCTCCCTGCAGAGAGCTGTGCAGGGGGGGAGGGTGTCCGGGGGAGAAGAGGAGTCCTGGGGACAGTCAAAGCCAATGCTTACCCAGTGGTTTCCCCAGGCATGCAGCCAGGATGAGATACTCGAGGTGCGTGCTGAGACCCATCCTCCTGCAAGTGGGAGAGAAACAAACCCCCTCCACGTCCCCACCAAGAGCCGCGAGAGAGCCGAGCTGCCGGAAATGACTCTGCAAGGGGAACAAAGAATGAACCGGGGAGGAGAAAACGCTTGTTCTTAGCACGCCCGAAATGCCTGTGCTCTGCTCTTCTCTCCTCCAGCAGTGACACGGGTTGCTCCTGCAAAAAACACCTTCTGCCATTCCAGGGTGAGGGCTGTAAGGGGGACAGGCCTGCACTCAAGCAGCTGGAAATCTCCTCCTGATGCCACCTGCTAATTAATATTCGTTGTCTGTTGAAGAGCGGGTGTTGATTTCTTCAGGCAACTTTCTAGGGCCAGCTTCCTCTCCGGTGTCCCAGCCTCAGCATTTGCAGCTGCAGGGCATCTGGCGCAGCCCAGACACACAACCCTTTGCTGCCATGTGAGCGTGGCAGGGCGGCACCTCTCCCTCTGCTGAACTGGAACTGGTCCCAGACCTCCACAACCGCCCTACGCTCATCCCCAGGGACGGGCTGGCTCTTGTCAGACTCACTCGGGGATTATTTTGACTTGAAGGTGGAGAAGCCCTGGGGCGGCAGCGCTAGCGATGGGCTCTAGCTTTGACTTTGTCTCTCAAGAACAGACTGAATTTCCAAAAAAGACCATGCAGCTTGGCCCCGGCACACCTTCTCACTCTCCTGTCATCAGAACACAAACCGTTGAACTACTTCTGTCCAAGCCACAAAGGCCCGAAAGCCCTCTGCTGCCGTCCAGTCTAACAGGGATGGCCGGCGCCTCATTTCCCTTCTCAGCACCGGGCTGCCAAGGGCTTGCCTGAAGCTGTCGGGGGCACCGAGGCAGAGAGCTGGCTGCTGGAGTCCTGGTTCTCAGAGCACGGGGAGAGGCTCTGCTTCCTCCTGTGCATCTGCCTCTGTCTGCGCCCGTGGGAGGATTTGTTTCCCGGGTGTTTGCATTTGTGTGTGCTTTTGTAAATGCACTTGTGAGCCTCAGTGTCTGCCGGTGTGTGTGTGAGCAAGTGTGTTTCTTTGTGTCTCTGGGCATGCATTAGCATACACGTGTGTTTTTGCAGGTGAGCATGTATGTGTGTGTGGTGTCAGTTTGCAAGTGTGGTTATGTATGTGGGCATATATGTATGCAGATATGCCTGAATATATCTGTGTGCTTCTATACAACCCGCATGCATCTATCTATCTAACAATCTATCTATCTATCTATCTATCTATCTATCTATCTATCTATCTATCTATCTATCTATCTATCTATGCAAGTGTGTGTTTGCAAGTACAGATCAGCACGTGTGAAAGTTAATGTGACAATATATGAGGGGTGTGAATGTCTGTGCATTCTCAAGGATTCCTGTGTAACTGTGTGTGCATGTACATGTTTTTCATGTGTGCTCAGATGTGATCAAATATTTGTTTACACAGGCTCTTGTGTGTGCTTCAACTTCCAAGGGTGCTAGTGGCTGCACACACCTGTGTGACCCAAGGGAGGGACACGTGTGCACCCTGTGGGTGGGATGTGAGCATTTTTTCACGTGCATCTGCACGTATGGCGGTGTGCCATTCCTTCCACTCGCCTGTGATGTCAATGGGTGAGAGCAAAATGAGAGGTGGAATCCAGTGGAAACCTCCAGTGAATCTCTGGTGTGACTCAGACATCCTACACGGACAAGTTGCAGTGACTGTCCAGCAAAATGCTGCAGGGACCGCAGCATCGTTCCTATGAGGACAGGCTGAGAGGGCTGGCAGTGGTCAACCTGGGGAAGAGAAGGCTCGAGGGGGAACTTGCCAGCGTGTGTAAATACCTGATGGGACGGAATGAAGAAGAGACTCTGCTCAGTCAGGCACCCTTGGGACTGCACCCCTCTGCCATGAGGAGGCTCTGGAGGAAGAGAAGTTGAGGTTGTTGAAATGCCCAGCCCAAGGAAAGACCTAAAATTCTGACAATACTGTGTTCCAGATTTCCGAGTGCCACAGGAAGGTTTTTTAGAATTGGGATTTTCATCTTGGGGTGGCCAGGCCACAGTTGGGTTTCTGACAGCCCTCCAAGTCAGAAGGTGCTGGAGCACCCCCTCAGACACACATATCCTGGTGTAGAAGTGCTGCCTCTCAGCTCCAGGTCTCATTGCCAAAGGGGCCATGGGGAACCTGAAAGTTCAGGCAGGAGCCTGAAGGAGGAGATCAAAGGGACTTTGGTCAGGAATAGGAGCCTGCAGGCTGTTTTCCTGATTTTTCTTCCTCCTGGGGATCACAACCAGCCCAAGCAGCAAGGCAGGAGTGTCCATGGTGAACTTCTGCCATCCAGTGCCCAGCCAGAGACAGGGACCTGCACCCGCCTCTCTCGGGGTTGGAGACAGACCCTCTGCAGCCCCCAATGTACTCCTTGTTCCCTGGCAGAGTCTGAAGGGATGCAGAACCAGGAACATGCAAAGGCACCAGGAAGCAGGAGTCTGACTCCCTATCCCCAGAGGCATTTTTCTCTCCCTTCTCTGGGGCCATGGATGATGCTCTTCAAGGGAACCAGCAGTGGGAAGAGCTCCTGCAGTGAACATCCACCCAGAGTCACCCCTCTTGGGCAGGAAGACATCCAGCACAACCCTCTGCTTCACAGACATCTCCTCCCCATCCCTTCAGGCATCACAGTCATCCACTTTGTGTAGGAATGACTGTACCCCGTAGGGTGAGAGCAGAATATCACATTATGAACTTGTTTCTGAGTGCATGAGGTTTAGACTTCTTACATGCTCCACTGGAAAAGTGTTTGGGGGTTGTGCAAGACATGGGATGCTGAGGGGAAGGAGCACAGACAAGCAGAGGGAAGGATCAAGGCAGCTTGTTTGGGAGCGAGTATGGGAAGACAGATGGAGGCAGGGATGAGAGCAGCTGATTGCGTGTGAACACGTGTCTGATCCGTGTGCTGGCCTGGCCACGCCTGTTGCTCTGCCTTGTTTGTCCACCTGCCAGCAGTTCCCTGCAAACCCAGTGATGAAGTCCAGCTGGGGCAGGGAGTGCGGCTGAGCCTTCCCTCTGTGCCTCGGAAGCCCCTGACCATGGGCTTGGAACTGCTCTGGCAGCTCCTCGAGCCACACAGGGCTCCCGGGTGATACCCGCAAACTAGGAGTAATAGAAAATATAGATTTGTGGAATACAATTATTAAGATCAATTTAAGATGTTTTAATCATTTATCCATTGCGCTGCAGAGCAAATACTGACCTTTTGAGGAATAGTTGGAATAACTGTAGGATAAGGAACTCGGAAATAATCTTATTGGAGACGGTTTGGCCTTGAGGTTGCAGGTGCAAAGGAACGTGAAGATCAAGAAGCTGCAAATTAGCAACAAACCAGACCAGGCCAGACCTGAAGGACAAGATATACGGGACTCCAGGAGTGAGTTTGCACAGAAATGAGGGTCAGCTGCACAAGAGACATTAGCCTCTGTTAAATGAGTTCCCTGAAAAGTTATGAATATGATAAAAATGCAATGAATATGTATGATTAAGGTAGTATAAATGCTTGTTGATTTCATTCTCACTCACACACATGAGGAGGAGCTGTCCCCTGTGTGTCCAGAGCTGTAATAAAGAATGCCTGCTTTGTAAAACTCCAAAATTGAGTCTCAGAGAGTGTTATAACTTGAGACTACAATGGGTCGTAATCCAATTGAAATTTTATTAATTATAGCAAGTAGAATATGAGCAAAAACAGCGCTGGACGACAGGGGAGTCTGTGCTCCACCAACTGCCGTACTGAGGAGAACAGACTGTCCCTTTTTATCCATCCTGACTCCCGCGTTCATGCAGTGGTGAAGATACTATGTTTCAGCTGTTGCTGGGGTCTAGAGTGGTGGAGATACTCTGCGCATGTGCCAAGTGTTGTCAGGGGGTCGTTTTCTGCCTTCTGGTGGTCGATGATATCCTTATATGGAGTTGTTTTTCTTCTGTTTGTTTTTCTTGGAATATCTTGTGATCTGCAGCGTCGGCCATGTGTGCACAAGCAACACATGATTCCATGAACGATCTCCCCTTCTCTTGTTATCTTTAAGTCTTAATAAACAATATACTTAGCTCATAGTTTCTCACAATCCCCCCTTTTTCTTTTTATCCTACTATTGTTTATTAGACGCTACTTTCATTCTTAGCACTGCAAGCAAGCCTTCTTCCACAATTCCAGCATTTATCACAACATTCACAGGGTAATATCTCACAATTACAATCATAATTCTTACGTGGTATAACGCATTCACAACAATCTTCATCATCTATTTCTTCATTAATAGATACACTTTTATATTTTACCTCAGACCTTAAAATTAGTAATTTAGCTATGTCGAACCGTTCTCTAATAAAGCGTAAAATATAGCGTATTATACAGGGTCCAAATATAAGTCCCAGAATCAATATAATAAGCGGTCCTGCTAAAGCAGATAACAAAGTAGTTAGCCAAGGTGAAACATTAAACCAGTTTTCATACCACGATCTGCCCGTCTCACGATCTTTTTTACGTTGATCTAACCTTTTCCGGAGTTCAGACATGGTGTCCTGGACTATTCCCGTATGGTCAGCAAAAGAACAACATTCTTCATTTAGAGCTACACATAACCCTCCTTCCTTTAAGAACAATAGGTCTAAACCTCTTCTATTTTGCAGCACTACCTCTGATAAAGACTTTACTGAAGTGGCTAAATTTTGGATAGATCGTTCTATTTTTGCTAAATCCTCATCTACAGCCATCTGCAAACTTTGTAATTCCTGACCTTTTACTAGGGAGGCTATGCCTGTACCTGCTCCAACTCCGCCCGCTATCAGCAGAGTAGCTAGGGTTACCACTGTAATTGGCTCTCGTTTTTCTCTATTCAGGTCTCCTTCAAAGTGGCGTAACACCTCCTCAGAGGTGTGATAGATCAGACGAGGAACAATAATCACCTGTATGCAAAACTGAGATTGACTAAACACGTTTAAGGATAGACAAGGCGTTACTCCGATGTCTGAACAAACCCACTTAGCTCCTGGTGTCGGGATAGCCCATTTGTCATTTTTATCCTTGTGTCTTTTTATATTGGTGTTAGTGATTGTTTGGTTGCACAAGGGCTGATACCTTTTGGGAACTGTTCCTTCTTTACTACTACATTCCCCTGTTTCGTTTCGGCAGATCTGTGTTCATTTGTCCGCCCTTTACGATCTTCTCTGACCGCTGCTACCATCATTTTTATTTGTCGCTTGCTGCTCTCTTCTTCTCTCCTTACATATACTTTCTGAGCTTCCCTCAGTGATTCATCTAACCCTCTATTCTGCCAGTCTTCTAACTTTTCAATCTTCTTTCTGATATCCTCCCACGATTTTGCCACAAACTGAGTTTTGAGGAGCGCTTGCCCTAAAGGGTCGTCTGGATTTACCCCGGAGTACAGCTGAAGGGCTTTCCTCAGTCGTTCCAGCCACTCAGTAGGGCTTTCATCTTTCTTTTGCATTTCATTAAATGCTTTATTGATATTCTGGCCACGGGGTCCTGCTTCTCTAATCCCTTGAATTACTATAGTTCTTAGGTCCTGCATATGAGTTCTATGCACCGGATCCTGATTATCCCAATTAGGTCTTTGGAGTGGCCATTTAATATCTGCTTGAGGTCCCTGAGCATGTTGAGCATCCCACAATCTCATTCCTGCTCGTCTAATCATGTCTCTTTCCTCGGTAGTAAATAATTGACCAAGGATAGATTGCATTTCATCCCAAGTATAAAGGTTTGGTCCCAAAAATTGATCTAATCTTTCCGCCACTCCGAGTGGGTCCTCAATTAGGTTTCCCATCTCGGTTCTTTTAAAATCTCGTAGGTCTACCGAGCTTAGGGGTACAGAAATATATCCAATCACAGGTTGAGGTCCCCCCATGGGCATTTCTCTTAAAGGATACATCTGAGCTGCCCCTTTTTGACTTCTGGTCACGCGTCTAGGAGGAGGGGGAGACCCTTGTTCTGATTCTGGTGGGGGAGTGGGAGCTCTGGGGACCTCTGGAGGGGCTGCAGGAGCAGGCGGGGGAGCGTAAGGAGGGGGAATTAGAAGAGTTTCATCTAACTCTTCCTTCTTTTTCTTTTGATTAGTTTTTATTTCATTCAGCGGGTAAAGTCTAGCTCTCGGTTTCTCGAGCCACACTTCCGCATATTGACTCTCTTCCGGGTTAAGGGATTTCTTACTATTAACCCAGAGGTTTAACTGCTGTCTTACCCAATCTTCTTCTGACCCACAGACTGGCCAAAAAACATGTTTAGAAATCTTCTTCCCTCCCCATATCTTAGTACAATATTCTATCATCTTCTGCTTATCTTTCCCTAGGGTTCCAGGGAAGTATTCCCAATTGTCTAAGATGTAGGCCAGAGGGGTATTCTTAGGTACAGTGGGTACCCTTCCCATGGGAGTCGAACGCTTGCTGCCCTTCGCCCACATCTTCTGAATTATCTCCAAACAGACACTCACTCACTCCCCTTGTTCCTGGCCCAGTCCCTCGCGGGAAATGGGAAACGCAGTACTTAAGGGTCCGCACTCGCTTGGTTCAGTATATCGAACCTCTCATTCGTTATAATTCAGGAAACCCAATCCCGCCCGAACGGTAAACCCGCGAATAAATCCACAATATACTTACGCGTCCTGTGTCTTCGTCCGGACTCCTGTGCACAGAATTTTTATGGGATTTTACCGGTTTTTCCTTTGCTCATTATTCTAGAATTTAGGTTCATCGGTAAGGATGGGGTGGGCTATCAGTCGCGGGGCCGCGGATTGCCGCGGGGCGCCTCCCCGGAGGACAGATATCCACCGTTCCTTATCCGAGTCACGGCACCAAAATTGTTATAAATTGAGACTACAATGGGTCGTAATCCAATTGAAATTTTATTAATTATAGCAAGTAGAATATGAGCAAAAACAGCGCTGGACGACAGGGGAGTCTGTGCTCCACCAACTGCCCTACTGAGGAGAACAGACTGTCCCTTTTTATGCATTTTGTCTCCCGCGTTCATGCAGTGGTGGAGATACTATGTTTCAGCTGTTGCTGGGGTCTAGAGTGGTGGAGATACTCTGCGCATGTGCCAAGTGTTGTCAGGGGGTCGTTTTCTGCCTTCTGGTGGTCGATGATATCCTTATATGGAGTTGTTTTTCTTCTGTTTGTTTTTCTTGGAATATCTTGTGATCTGCAGCGTCGGCCATGTGTGCACAAGCAACACATGATTCCATGAACGATCTCCCCTTCTCTTGTTATCTTTAAGTCTTAATAAACAATATACTTAGCTCATAGTTTCTCACAGAGAGTGAATGAGATACAACTTACTGGTAAGACGGGGACCGGTCCGAGCCCACAGTCCCTTCCCAGAGGCCTCCTTCCAGCTCCTTGGGCAACTCAGCAAATCTGTTGCCGACTCACTAATGAGGGAGGAACCTGGCATCCCTTGAGGCTGTGGTCAGGGTGCTCTATCGGGCTTATAGGGAAAGGTTTTGGTAGAAGAGGGGCTGCAGGTGTGGCTGCTGTGAGAAAATGCCAGAAGCTGTGCCAATGTCGGGTAGAGGTGGGACCTGCCGGCTCCCAAATGTTCCACGAGGACTGTCTCCCATGGGAGGGACCCCAGGGCGCAGCAGGGTAGGGCGTGAGGAGGAAGGAGCCGCAGAGACAACGGGGGAGGAACGGGAGCCAACCCCGCTTTGCCATCCCCCTGGGCCACTCGTTGGGAGGAGGCAGAGAATTGGGGAGCGGAGCTGGGCCTGAGAAGAAGGGCAGGGCGGGGGGAAGGGCTCGCAAGGTTTGGGGTTCAGCTCCCCTTCTCCCGCTCGGATTTGATGGGCCCGAAATTGCCGGGGCCCGGGGCCGGGCGGGGCCGGGCGGGGCCGGGCGGGGCCGGGCGGGGCCGGGCGGGGCCGGGCGGGGCGAGGCGGCCCCGGCGGGTGGAGCGGCAGCGCCCCCTGGCGGCCCCGCCCGGGGCTGTCCCCGCCCCCGGCCCCGCCCCCGCCCCCCCCGCCCGGCCCCGCCCGCGGCGGTTCGTGCCCGGCCGCAGCCCCGGCTCCTCTCCCCGTGTCTCCTCGGGCGCAGTAATACACCGCCGCGTCCCTGCGCCGGGGCCGGGCGAGCCACAGGGCGCTGGACCGGCGGTCTGCCGCCACCGACAGCCGCCCCGGCGGCTCCCGCACATCCTTGCTGCCTTTATTGCCGATCACGAGGAGTGCTGGGCCCCGGCCCGGGAGCTGACGGTACCAGTAAATGAATTCTGTGAGCTGCATGTTGGGGTGCGAGCAGTTGATGCTGATGCCGGTGCCCTCGGTGGTCTCTGCCGACGGCTCCTGCTGCACCTGGGCTCTGCCCACAGCCACTGCCAAGGAGAGAGAGAAGATTCACTTTGCTTCGGCACAACCTTTCATACAGCAGGAGAGGGGAGAAGAAAGTTCACAGATGATGAGCGTTTGTTCTGAGAACAAAGCGTGGAGAGACCATATTTCTGAGAGTGGTTGCTCGGGAATAAGAATATGTGTAGGCATGTTTGGAAGGAGAGTCAGAGTGAAGAAGAAAAGGGAATGAGGAAGAAACGTCTGGGAGTTATGGCTGGCTGGCTGGGTGATGGATAAAGAGCATGGAGTAAACGGAGCAGACAGGCGAGCCGGGAAGGAATGACCTCCTGGAGAGCAGAAGGGGTGATGGCAGAAGCGAGCAGACATCGGGAAGAAGGTGCAAGAAGGAGCAGGAGGGACAGGGGCGAGCCCTGTCACAACTCCGGTTACCGACACCCCAATGCCAGCCCTCCACCGCCACCCCCCATCCCCGCGCACCCAGGAGCACCGCGGCCAGCCCCGCCAGCCCTGCGCCCCGGCCCCGCCGCATCCCGCCGCTCCGCCGCCCGCGCCTCGCTGCCCCCCGCCAGCCCCGGCTCTCTGCTCCGCCCGCCGCGCCTCCTCTCCGCCGCCTCCGCTCCTCTCCGCCGCCGCCAGCTCCGCCCCGGGGCTGAGCCCTGCGCCGGCGCCGCTCGGGGGCTCGCCCGGGCTCCGAGTGCTCAGCGGCTCTGCACGGCCACCACTTGGTCTCCTGGCAATGCCACTCTCTCCCTCCTCCAGCAAGGGCTCCCCAGCAAGAACCAGCCTGCACAGCGCCAGCTGCAGCCTGGGCCAGCAGCAGGGCCTGGGCCCAGGAGATGGAGCAGCTTCCCAGAGCTCTCCCCGAGCTCAGGGGCTGCAAAGAGCAGCCACTGCTTTCCTGCCGCTGGCAGGGAGGAGGCGGAGAGCCTCCCTTCAGCTGCCTCTCTGCACTCCCAGCACAATGCCTACGAGGGCTCTGCAGGCAAAGCGGGGCTCCGGACAAGTGTGCCCGTGGGCGTGCGCGGGGGGCAGGGGCCCAAGAGGAACGGCAGCGTCCCAGTGTCGGCGAGAAGGGACCTCCAGAGCTCCTCGACAGCAGCCCCCGCTCTCAGCAGTTCCCACTCCATCGGGCCGCTCCCGGGGGGCGATTGCCGAAACTCCCACGGAAATCCATCCCAGGGTCTGCTGGCTGGGCTTTGCCCCACCCCTCACAACTCCTGGAGCCCGGTAGCCCAGCCCCTTTTCCACCCACCTTATCCTCCTCTTTCTGAAGCCCTTCGCCTCCAGTTCGGTCACCAAGGCAGTACAAGAGAGGCTGGAAAGATCTGGCTAAACTCCAGCTACGCGCCTGCCCTGCCCTTTCTTTGGCCGCAGTGCCCGCTCCCTCCTGAGAAATCAGCAAGGTTTCCCTCGGAGACACCTCCGAGAGCGTCATCTGAGAAGCAGCTCCACGGAGAGGGGAGTCAGCCCTGGCTGAGCTCTCCCAGCAGAGCTCCCTGGCACTGAGCTCCCCAAAGGTCGCTCAAGCGAAGGAGGGAAGCCTTGGCTGCCCTGTGTCCAAGTGGGACCTGAGCCCAGGCGGAGAAGCGGTCAGGAGGGGAGATGGGCTCAGGAGCTTTACACACCCTGGACAGCCCCGGGTGGAGGCAGAGTCTCTTCTGGACACCCCTGTGGGACAGCAGCAGGCTTTGGGGGATGCGGGCTTGAACGCAGCATCCCTTCCCTCCCGGGGCCAGCTGCTGGGCACTCAGACTGACATTCCCGGCTGGGGCATGAAGGGCCTCGTGCGCTGAAGCCCAAGGCAGTCATCAGCTCTTTGGCTTTCCTTGTGAAAGCCCCAGGGTCTGTCATGCTACTCAAAGCAAAGCAGTCTCAAGCTTCACGTTCCTGCCATTCAGTCCCAGCTTAACCCGAGGTCTCAGCCCCTGCCTCACACGGCACCAGGCCAATGATCTGCAGAAATACATCTGGCGTAGGACTGGAGACGAGAGGGGGCTTTGTCCCAGCCCAGACACAACTGACAGAAGAGTGGAAGCAGAACCCCTCAGGGATGGCCAGCACATGCTCAGCAGGATTCCTCAGCCCTTCTCCTTGCCCATAAAGCAATCCCCATCCTTCTGAAATCTCTCGAGCTGGGCAGAGCAGCCGAGTCCTGGCCTGGAGAGGCAGGGAGGGGGCACTGCCAGCCATGCTGAGGCACTCCCAGCATTGTGACACTGACTTAAATACGGTTCCAAATTGGTGTGAATGCATCCTTGTTGTGGCCTGAAGCTGGCAGCAGCAGAGCGTGAGCTTTGGAGGGGCAGGAAAACGAGGGCTGAGGAGACAGGGGCTGCGTGTCAGTGCCTCTTCCCTGGACACATCTCTAGCAGGCTGGTGCCATCACCGTTGAGCTGCACTCAGGCTCCTTCTGAGCCTGGGAACCTGCTGCTCTGCAATGCTCGTGGGCAGAGCAGAGGAGAGTGGCCCTGCCACGAGCAGCACATTCCCTCATGATGAAGGACACACAGGGAAACATAGACAGTTCCATTCACACTGGCATTGAACCATGTACACATTTGTGCTCCCCTGTGCAACCACACACACCCAGCTGCTCACCAAAGCACACACGACCAACCCTGGTCTCTGCTGAGGACCCCTGGAGATAAAGGTAGCAGGGCTCGAGCACTCCGGGGAAGGAGAAGGCCCCAGGCACGCCCATGCCATTGTTTGTGTGCTCAGATGCTGCACAGAGAGGGGACAAATCAAAACAGGGCAGAATTCTTATCTAGGAACAGTGTTAGGCAGGCTGGGGCCAAAACCCTGCAGCACCACACAGACACCTGTGAGGCACCAACAAGTGACCATTGGGGTGAGCTGAGGAAGGACTCTGGGACAGACCAGGACGTGGCACGACCTCATGCACGGGAGCCCACGGCATCCAGCCGAGGGTGGCTGGGCCTTCTTCCGAAGAGCAGCACTTCAAACAGACCCGCTGGAGTCATCGCGACTGACATCTCCTGCCTGCTCTGGAAATAGCCAGCACTTGAGCTGAGTGTTCACCCGCACTGCTGCATTCCTACCCAGGAAATCCTGGGGCCTTTCATCCCAGTGCTCAGAACAAGCCTTCGCTGGGAAATGGGCTTGGCACAAACCTGGAAATGAAAAGGCAGCAGTGCAGGAAATGAAAGCACAGCCCATATTATTAGCTGTGATGGTTTGCATTCAAGACGAGCTTGTCAGAAAATTGTTCCCTCTGCAAAGGGTGCCTCTGGGCCTGCGGCAAGGAAGGGCAGGTATAAAAGGCAGCCCCAGTCCCTGCTCTCTCATCCACTTCTCTTGCCTCCTCCTCCTTGGCAACCAGGTGAGTTCCTTCTCCTCCTCTTCCAAAGCAAGACCTCCACTTGATAGTCACCCCAGCTGATATTGCTCTGTGCTTTCCTGGGGTTTGGATCTTCTTGTTGTGACAGAGGCAAGTGGGGAGACATTGTGCTTAGAGAGTGGGCTGAGGGGTCTCTTGGTTTACGAGTGAGGAGAGAGCGTCCCTGTGCCAGGCTGCTCTTCATAGAGCGATAAAGACGCCCTGTGCTTCCTTCCTGCTTCTCCCCCAGGTGCACCTCCACCCTCGAGACATGTCCTGCTCCGACCAGTGCCTGCCATGCCGGCCCTGCGGCCCGACCCCGCTGGCCAACAGCTGCAATGAGCCCTGTGTCAGGCAGTGCCAGAGCTCCACCGTCGCCATCCAGCCCTCCCCCGTGGTGGTGACCCTGCCCGGCCCCATCCTCAGCTCCTTCCCACAGAACACCGTTGTGGGCTCCTCCACCTCTGCCGCCGTTGGCAGCATCCTCAGCTGTGACGGAGTCCCCATCAACTCGGGGGGCTTTGACCTCTCCTGCATCACCAGCCGCTACTGCGGCAGAAGGTGCCCCCCCTGCTAAAGCTGCTGGCAGTGACCCACGGAGACACCTCGTGGAACTGAGAACATTTGCTGGGCACAGGATCAAGAATTTGGATGTTGTTTTCAGGATAGCTGAATGGCTTTGCCTTTCTTTCCATTTCTCTTTTTGCTGCCTGTCCCCTTGCCTACAGAGTGTCCCCAGTGCCAGCCTGGTGGGGACCATCTGTCTCCTCTCCGGCCTCTGTGGCGCAGGCAGACAGACAGACATCAGGCAGGAACTTCTCTGTGGGCAAGCACTGAAGACCCTCAGCTGCCCCCACGGCTCCCTGCACTGCTGTGCTCCACTTGGAGTGACTTTGTTTCCCTCTTTTGACTCATTAAAGTTCTGCTGCATCCAAGCCTGGCCTCCATGTGGTCCTTCCCTCCGTGGACACTGCCCCGGCTGCCAGAGGGGAAGGCTGTTGCTCTGGGGTGGAAGGGGGAGAGGACCCTGGGAGCCCTTGCCTTGTTGTGCCATTGTTCACAAATGCCCAGGAAGGCCGGAGGCCCTGAGGGGTCAGCAGCCCCATGAGCTCCTGAGGAAGGGCGTTCCTCTTGCGGTGGTTGGAGGTGCACCGGCTTGGCAGGGGTTGGACTTTGGCTCCAAAAATTCTGTGGTTTGCAGAACGGCAAGGATGATAAAGAAGGGAACAGCCCTTGGGATGGCCCATAGCTGATTCTCCACCTTCCTCTCCCCTCCGCCAGCCAATGTAGGGGCTGTGGCCTGTGTGCATGGACGGGGCTGTCAGGGACAAGTCACCCATGCTGCTGAATGCATAGGGACTGGAAATTGGAGCTACGCCTGTGGGAGCTGAGGGCAGTCAGCACAGGAATGGGTGGAAAAGCCTGCATCCCGGGGAAGGGACTGCATGTGGAGAAAGTTGATGTCCTATGCCAGAGCAGCTAGGGAAACACTCTGGCCTATAGGAGGGACTCAGGTACCGAGGAAACCTATGGACGACTGTCCGCTGTGGGAGGGTGATCACGCTGGAACAGAGGAAAGAAGTTCTAGAAGTTCTCCTCACTTCTATAAGTTGGAAGATGTAGCAGTGCTGACTGCACCCCCCATTCCCTGCCCTGCTTGGGGGAGGAGGTAGGGATATTGTGAGCCAAACTGAGCCCAGGAAGAAGGGACGGACAGAGAGAAGGTGTTTTCAAGATGTGACAATGCTTCTCACTGTCCTACTCTGTCTGTTATGTGTTGCTGTTGTAACTGTCTGTAAAAAATCTTTGTTTCTTTTTTCTTCCCTGACGGAGTCTGTCTTTTGCCCGTGACTGTAATGGGTGATTGGCCCCTCCCTGTGTTATCTCAGATCCCCAATGAGGCTTATTTTCTCCTTCTCAGCGCTGAGGGAAAGGGGGAAGTTAGCTGCTGCATGGTGCTCACTTGCCCTTTGAGCTCCAAGCACGACAGTCCCTTGGCAGCCACTACAGTCTCAGATACTTTTTCCTATACAGAAATCCAAATGTCTTGACGAAAGTGTATAGGTGGAGGAACGGAAATCCCCACACCCATGTCCTTCATCAAGAGGGAATTATGGCTCATGAAACATATCGCAAAAGAACTGAACACCAATATTTTTGTAAGTGAGTTCCATTTGCATGTCTGAAAT